GATGATTCGCGCTATTTAAAATAGAAGCCACGTGCAAAAATCTACAGCTGCGGGTAATTGCAGGTTTCTGAGGCCCTGGCAAGTAAAAGTAAAAATAAAAATAAATTGCTTCATAATATATTACATTCTAAATCACATTCATAATATATCACATTCTAAAAAACGCGAATTCTAAAATCGTCTGTCGTCATATAAATATAAAATAACATAAAATGACATTAGCGGCAACTAGTTGCAGATTTTTAAATAACGTAAAATTACGTTAACAGCAACTAGCTATAGATCCTAAATTGATGTAAAATTCACCATCGGCTGCGAATGCGTTAAATCATTCTTAATTCGCCTTCAAAAGTATTAATCTATCATGTTTGTATAAAATTTACAATTCAAGAGAAATTGTCTTCACAATAATAAGAAATTAAATTATAACATTTTTTTATCATCCTGGTCTTCATTTCGTAACTCAGCTGAAAAATTGTCTCAGAAGTTTTTACATAAATCTTTTGAAACTTCTACATACATTTTAAAACTTTGTGGAAATTTTCTCATTTTTTTATATAAGAATTTATGTTGGAATACTTCAGACATGTCGAGAAAAAATATATAATATTTTTATGGAATTTATACATGTAAAAACTGAAATATTCTAATTGTAAGATTTCTTAGAATTTTAAAATACTTTTTCAGACTAAACTTAAAATATGAAATTTTGTAAAATATAAGATATTATCAGGGACTTTTTCATCAGGGAAGATTAATATTTACAACACCCGTTGCGTTTTTATCATGCAATTAGCGTACTACCTGAAATGCTCCCACATGACGTGAATGTTCTCCAATATCGGTGGCAAGAACCAGGAATGCCCCGAGTGATCTTTATTCCCGGCATCGTTGTCGTTCATTCCATGACCCAAGGCGTCTAGAAGCATTGGCACGAGACCCATTGCCATGTCGTTGTTCGCATTTTGTTGCAAGAACATGCTGCCCATGTTGACTATGCTGCCCCAGTCTATGCCGGAATCCCCCGTATGTTCCGTGTCTCTCGCCGATCTCTTACCAGTATTCAAGGCGCTCAGAATTGAACCCACCATTGATATATCAAAGCCTTGATTATTTTGTCCACCTGACATTAAATTACTTAGCCCGGAGATGATCTGGCCGACACCGTCCGTGGATCTTTTTTCAAACATCATGTCGCGAACCTATTAAAATTTCTCATACTTTATATCTGAATCTTCTAACGATCGTTTTGTAGGCATTAATGCAAATTAAAAATAAAATTTTATACAAAATTAGTCACTTCTATTTTGAATATTGATGAAGAGGATTGTTGTTCTATTAAGATATAGAGGAAAGTTCCCTGTTATGAGATAGCGAGGGTTTTTGTTAAATTAATTTATTGCCGTTGGAGCGAAATCTGTTTAGTGGAAAATTCAGTAGATTGTGTAATCGTGACGAAAAAAGATTTGTGATTGAATTTGGGTGTTGAAAATCTGCTATCTCATAATGGGGGACTTTTCTCTAATGAAGATTTCAAGAAAGAAAATCGCGAGAGATTAATAATTGAAAAATACATTGAAATTGAATAAGATAATTCTTGGCATATAAAGTGCATATGAATTTTTGTCATACTTGCTTGCCGGAATCCGAATGCGCAAAAGTCTGGGCCATGTCTTCGAGCGACTGCTGGGAAAAGAAGTTTTTAGCCTCCTCGAAGAAGACGCTGGACGCATCGTCCTCATTATTCTTTTCAGAGCCCGCCAGCCCGACTAGTACCAATAGAAGCGACGTCCTCGACCACCACATCCTCCTGTTTCTGTAACACAACATTTGGTTAACGCGACTATTCGACGATAGATATTCCTGCTGAGTAATCATCGGGGACGCGATGCCGCAATTGCATTTCTCTGCAATTTAATGACGTACAATTACAACGAAGCCTCATTTGCCCCCTGATCAAAATCAGAGATCCTTGAGACGAGTCGTTGACCTTAATGGCGAATCCTGATTTCTGGTCGAGTTATTTTTAGGAGAAGAAACCTTCCACGAGGTCGTTGTCGCGAGGATTTTAAACGCGGGCGACATACCGGAAACGTTTCGGCTCGTGGCCACTCGGATACCGTTGTTTCTTTAGCTGCCGTACCAGTGTTAGTACATTACACTTACGCGCATATTTCGCAAGACACGTGAAAGCGTTGGTGACGAACCCGTTGAGTCAGCGTGTAAAAAAACGCGAACAAGTAAACGAATTTGTACAATGTCTTGTGTACCGTAAATATATGTATATTATACGTATAGAGCAATTTCACATTTGCGAGTTCTGCACGATAATGGCTTTTAACAAGTTAAGTTTCTGTTCTTAACTATAACACTTTGTTAAATATTATTTTTGTGATTTTGATAATTTAATTCTATATATACATTTTTCTTTCACAATTTGTTAAACGTTTGCGTAAACGGTCGACGAATACAAAGATGAATATGGAAGAAATGAATTAAATTAGATCAACTAAACAGGCAAAAAAGACCAAGTTCTTATTTAATTAACCAACATAATTCTAACTCGTGTTTTAGTAATAAACGCACATTGTCATCATCGGGTATCAGAATTGTAGCAACTGCCACGAATGAAGACAATGACGATAAATGATTGGCGCAACGCTAGTGTATACTAACGCGCAATTTGAGTACCGTAAACCGCATGAAATTGACATTCTCCAGCTGGAATAACGATTCGGCCTAACGGTACGGACTGTTAGTCATCGTTACCCCAACGCGTCGAAGTCGTGAATGGCAGGTCGAAAGAATAAGGAGCCGATTCGACTGTCGCATCTCCCGATCGAACATATCTCAATATTGTGTAGCGCACACGATATCAAATGGTCTGGGAGTAGAAGCAAAAAATTTATTATAGACCATATGCATTGCTTACTTCTGACTATTATCAAACGTTCATGTTTTTACGAAGTTAAAAGACACAACCTAAGATATGAAACTTCTTAATTTTGTATCTCTCGCAGTGTTATTTTAATTTCTTTGACAATCTTTTTTAGAGTTTTAAGTAATTTATAAAGTCAGAGACAGGCATCAGTTATTGTTCAGTTTAGTTTAATCTATAAACTATGTAGAAATGGATGTTAGAATATATAACCTGATATTATCATTAAACACGACAGGCAACTTATGTAAAAAAAATGAATTTCTTTGTAAGAAGAGAGACGAAAAGTTATTTTACTTTTATTTACTCTCAGTGTCTATCATATTTTGTAATCATCTTTGAGAGCCGCGTATAAAAGTAAGAAACACGGAAGCCACCTCGTTCTCAGATTGCCGAGAGGGAAAGCGCGTGCGAGATTTTTGCAATGTCGTCGTACGCGCCGCACGTGATCAAGGAAAAGGAGCATTGACCGCCTTATTCGTGAAATTAAAATCATACAGTTGCACATTTCTTTTTCCGTAAGTGGATTATCAATAAGCGGATGTCAGCGATTTAACGGCATGATATTGTTGCTTTTGAAGCAATCTGCTTTCGACACTATGGCAGCATATTTATGACGACTTAGCTGAAAGATATTTCGTGTAAATTATTGCAGTAATGATGACCTTAATACAACGATATAATTTCTTATGAAGCATAGTTGTGTGTGTTTGTGTGTGTGAAAGAGAGAGAGGGGGGGG